AGTCTTGTATTCTTTTGTGATATTTTCTTATATTTGGAAGTGGTTTTTGGTGTTTTTATCAAATCAGACACTTCAACCAATTATTTGGTCTTCTCAATGGTTTCTCGATGTCATATGGGTCTTTGATCTGGTTAATATCAATTTGGAGAACGTGACATCGCTAGAGATGTTGGAAGCCAACACTGGAATAAAGCACTCTAGGGATCAAATTAGAAGAAAATCATAGTCAACGTTTTTTAAAATAACCCCGATACAGAATGGTTGGTCAACTTTTGCTGGAAACATTAGATTTTGTCATGTGTCATTTGGAGGTTTAGCCAATAGATGCTACCCACACATACAGATTACATTAAAGAAGAATCATATACGAAAAAGGTTAATAACATAATAAATTATTTTTTAGTAAGTAAGATTTTCTACGAAAAAAGTCGTTAAGTTTACTTTTTTTTTTTTGTCACAAACACACTTCTTTCCTACTACAACCCAAATACATCAGTATCTGGAAACCAGTAAGGAACTAAAGTGCCAATATATGAAAATAGTAAATTCCTCTGTATGGCATGTCGGGACAGCAGATCTGCCCGAACATTCTTCTCCCTTGGACAGTACCTTATGGTAAAGTCTGGAAAATACGCCCGTAGTGCCTTCAACTCATCCAGTTCCGCCTGAAACCTCAGCCACTGCTCAGCTTCCATTACCATGTTGGTCAACTCCTTCAAATCTGTAAGGAACAAGGTACAGTATCAACGCTTCTTCCACAGGCATGGCATTGCCCACATGAGGCTAAGGAGCTCTGTGTGTAGGGGGATAGACTCTTGTGCAGCCCGCAAAGTCCAATGAGGTCTATCTCTCCGTCCTGTAACTGTAGTGTTCACCCAATTCCGCTCGTAGCTTCTTCATCTTTCCACGATCCGTTAAGGTAACATGTGAACATAGCCTGTGGTTCACTCTGCGTAGGTTGGGCCTGATGGTTCGTCAAGTCTCTCCATCGATGTGTTAGCTAAAAACCAGGCCGCAGCCTCTGTGCTTGCCAACTCAAGGATATCCTATGCTGA